GGCATTTCGTGTCATAGTCACAAAATGTATTGTACCTATTGATTCGTGTTCACCTACACAATTTTCGCATTTGTTCTGTGTCAGAATACTGAAATCTGTATCTGTTTTTCCTTCTAATTTGTTATTATTTACATTGCTTTTAAAATCGTTCTGTGTGACACGAAAAAAATGGGGAAATCGTGTTGGTGAACACGAATCAATAGATTAATTTCGTGACTATAACACGAAATGCCGTGAGACTGTGTTGGTGAGACACTGCTTTTGAACATTTCAGAAAAAAAGAAATAATCAACATGCTTTTTTAGTTAATGACATGTAGAGCAATGTCAAGGTAAAGTTGAGCGTTAAGTGAAACTGCTGATTTAAAATGAGTCCTTGACCTTTATCTGTGCTGAAATGACTCCTCGGTCTTTTTTCATTTAGTAGGTGTTTTGTTGGTTGCTTGCTTGCATTTCCTCAGCCATGAGTGTAAATGACATTAAGGGTGTTGTTGCCATTTTTGACTCAACAAAAAACCCAGCACTCAGTCCTTTAGAGAGAACACTTTGTCTTTCAGCCCACAGAGAGATAACAACCTTCTGTAAAATGAATCTTCTAATCTACACAATGGCTCCTCAGTTTGTTACGTCATTGGATTTAAGTCTAAAAAATAACACTTCTTATCCATTTCTGTTTTGATGTCTGAAAAACTACTTTATTACCAATACCCATAGATTATGGGTCCCCACTTTACATATAGGGATAAAACAAATGTTAATACATGCTTATCCAGTTTAGAGTCATGGGGGGCCCCTATCCCAGCATGCACTGTGCTTGAAGCTGGAACAGATTGACCCGATCACCAAACTTTCAGAGGGCTTTGCAGGAGAAATATCTATTATTAGACTGCGTTGTCTCAGTAGGAACATGTTTACTGTAATGCTTTCTTTTCACTTCTGTTTAACCATCACCACAGTTCTCTCCACCTACACATGAAGCCCCACGGCTACATGTTCATTCTGGGAAATGTAGACAGTGACTAACAAATGGGGTCAAACTAAATGTGACACTACAATACAATTCCAGACTAAAAGGACATTCGAAAGTGTTGCATCTTCACTACACTGATGAAGCAATTTTCCTTAACGTATCTCGACTTGTTGATCTTGTGTTGCAGAGCTGCTCTCCACGCTGGAAGCTGTGCGTCAGCGACACAGACAGCGCCCTGGGCTTCGCTCTAGGAGCCATGTTTGTCAAAGACACCTTTCCCGAAGACAGCAAGACCATTGTAAGCATTTCAAAGTCTTCCCCTCACAAAAGCTGCTCCTGCTGTGTGAGATGATTTGACTCTCTTTTGTCCCTTCTGTGCTCCAGGCTGAGGATATGGTTGCAGAGATTAAATGGGCGTTTGAGGACAGCCTGAAAGATGTGAGCTGGATGGATTCGGAGACAAAAAAAGCAGCCAAAGAAAAGGTAGGATAAGAAAGATGATGTTTATTCCCCCTTCAAAACATTTTCCAACTCCTGCTTCAGGGAGACATTAACATCTGAATGAGTTCTGTTGTTGTGTGCTGAAGTGGGTGGGAATTACAGCACTGCCACCTGGTGTAAAAATGTGTCTTATGCAGTTTTTCTTTATATATCACAGGCGGATGCAATATACAACATGGTTGGATATCCAGAGTTCATCATGAACTCCACAAAGCTGGACAAAGTGTTCAATGATGTAGGTAAATGTGGAACTGTATCATCCTGTTACTTTTGTTCATCACATAATGTCTCACTAAAACACCAAATTACACTTCTGATTCCTCTCTTTTAGTTTGAGGTGGTGAACGAACTCTACTTCCAAAATGTCATGCAGTACTACAACTTCTCAGCCCGAGTGACTGCGGACCAGCTGAGGAAAACTCCCAACAGAAACCAGTGAGTTGCCCCTGGTTACCCTCATCCCCCCCCCTCCAGCCCCGCTCGGCCAGAGACGAGGTTGCACGCTCCGTTGGGGGCACATTCCCATTATACTGACTCAGCAGAATAATGCTGCCATCCATCCACAAATGTTCCCAGGCAACCAACTTCCCTCTGCTGACCTGAGCCTTGTCTCTAATTAGGCTGACGAGGGTTTCCCATGCATTTCAAACTGATCTGCAGTCTGCCCGGCACAATAGCGAGGGAAGAATCAATATTCTGAATTTGTTGTGACCTTGATGTCAGCCTCACATGTTGGTCCTGCGTGTTCCTTGTTTTTCTTTTACAGGTGGAGCATGACCCCTCCGACCGTGAATGCATATTACAACCCAACGAAGAATGAGATGGTTCTGCCTGCAGGAATCCTTCAGGCTCCGTTTTACAGTCGTTCCTGGCCTAAGTACGTCTTCTTCATCGCATTTCAGGCTCAAACAATCATGCTGGATGGATTTGTTTTAGAATAATATAGAAAAAAGGTGGAGCACTGTCTTTAATTCACAGAACCATGAAAGCAGTATACAAAAAACATGGTATTAAAACAACAGTGAAGTTTAAATCAATACTAGTAGTAAAAAGCATTCTCCACAGGACATTGCCTTCAGCAGCTGTTTTTAAACTAAACATGAGTGTACTGTGGGGTGCAGCAGATACAAAATGGTAATCAGACTGATTTGCCATTCTGTTTTACTTCATTGATTTTCTTTTTGAATATGTATTGATTTGATTAAATTTGAATTGCTGATCTGAGATGAGGGCAACAGCAAAAAAGGGGATCGAAAGAACTCACTTTTTCTTTTACACAGATTAAACAAGATATAAATTGGTCGTGCTGGTGTGTGGATTTTGTTTACAGTCTTTTTGCTAAGCCAGCTGTCCTCTGGCTGCAGCTTCATATTGATCAAACCGATATGAGAGTGGTATCAATCTACTTATCTAACTGGCAATAAATTGAACAATGTCAAAAATGCTTCCTCAGACACAGTTGCTTTAACCATCTATGTGGGACATACAAACACGTTGAAATGTAGTCATTGGGGGTCATAAAGGTATATTTTTTACACTTTTTCAGAGCTCTTAACTTTGGGGGAATTGGCGTCGTCATGGGACATGAATTGACTCATGCTTTTGATGACCAAGGTTGGTGAAAGGCTTTCCATTTTGATTCTTTACATTTAAATGCATGTCAAATAAAACCTTCAATGTCTGTGTGCTTGATTTGGCAGAGAATACAGTGACAGCTTACACTTTTCTTCTTTCTTTTTTTAAAGGGAGGGAATACGACAAAGATGGAAACCTGCGTCCCTGGTGGAAGAATTCCTCAGTAGAGGCCTTCAAGACGCAGACTCATTGCATGGTGGAGCAATACGGAAATTACAGCATCAACAAAGAGCCTCTGAATGGAAGACACACCCTGGGAGAGAACATCGCTGACAACGGTGGACTCAAGGCCGCCTACAAGGTCTGATATCTAATAGGAAGCGTGAGGGGGCCCAATTATGCTTATTTCCAGGTTTCATCATTCTATTTTGTGTTCATCTACTGTGACATGTCTCCATGCTTTAATGTTAAAAAAGATCTTTATTTTTCTCATACTGCCAATGCTGCAGCACCTCTTTTCACCCTCCGTCTGAAACAAGAGCCCAGTCTGCTCTGATTGGTTAGCTGGCCGGCTATGTTGTGATTGGTAAACCGCGTATGTTGCAGACCATTTACATACACACAAACCTATAAAATGCTAGGGCTTTAATGTTTTTCTGTTTGTCCCTTCCATTTAACGATGGAGACAAACAATTCAACTCAAAGGAGAATTTAAATTAAGTCTGATCTATTATTATTTATTTGGTTAAGGTCAGACTGCTGCTGTTATGTTTACTACAGCAACATTGTCAGATTGCATGTTCAAAAGGTCAGAAATCTTTCCAGACAGATCCGATTATTATCCCCTGCATTCATTTATTCTTCAAGGCCGTTGTGGGTCACATTCATTCATCGGTATTGGAAAAAGCAACTTGTCTGGTTTACAGCAAAGCCTGGAAATACAACAGGTGGCTATGAGTGGCCTTGTCAGCCTCTGGTTACTTCTTCACATGCAGACATTCTTTCCATGTAATGAAAGGTCATAAGCTGTGAAGCAGAGGAGCAAATCATATGGAAGCAAAAACAGCCTGCATTATGTGGCACATGTAAACCAGAAGGAGTTAACACTATGGATCTTCTTTTCCCCCTTGGTGTATCATTTTACACTTTTACACAAGCAAAACAGGGACCGCATGCTAGTAACAGGATCATTTCTTTTTATTCCAAGGCTTATGTGAACTGGGTCAAAAAGAACGGTGAGGAGGCCACGCTGCCTGCACTTGGGATGACGAACGATCAGCTATTCTTTGTAGGATTTGCACAGGTTTGTATCCCTGAAATTATTTCCTTTAACTCAATAGTGCTAATATTACTGCTGGTTTTACAACATTTCTTAACGCTACTCTCCAGACACGTTTTAAGACATAAAAACTCTTCTACAAATAATAATTTGTAGTTAATCTGATGGGGTTTTAGAGAAATCAACACCCTTTCCCTCCTCTGAAAAATCCATACTGTATAAATCTGCAAACATTTTTCCAATATTTAAATGCTGGAAAGATCCATCTCAGTGTTAGTCCTCTGTAGGTTTTAAGTTTCCTCCTCACACTTGTACACATTGCCTCCTGTACTGCTCCTATGTCAAACTTGGATTCAAGATGAGCACAAACTAAATGTCTTCCTTTGCAAATAAATGGGAAAAAAGCCTACATAAATAACAAGATATTTAAATGAATAACTTCAACCTAACCGGAATAAATTCAATCCAAACTCTTTATAAATCTCCTTACAATTCTCCATGTTGTTTTTTTAAACAGCTAGGCGGAAACATGAATCCCTAATTGTGTGTCTCTGTGTCCTTTATCTTTGCTGCAGGTATGGTGCTCTGTCAGGACACCTGAAAGCTCACATGAAGGCGTCATCACAGATCCTCACAGTCCATCAAGATTCAGAGTCATCGGCACCATCTCCAATTCACAAGAATTCTCAAAGCACTTTGGCTGCAAAGCAGACGCTCCTATGAACCCTAAACACAAGTGTGAGCTTTGGTGATGTTTATCAGCAAGGAGAAAATGGACGTTGGGGAGAAAGGAATGACAAAGTCTCTACTGACGGGGAACGCAAGAACCACTGAAAGTCCTTCTGCCTTACCACTTAATGCTTATCAGGATCCTTATCAGGACAGAATGTACCTGCTTTGCATGCAGGATTGCAATCTTCAGTGCTTCTCCAAAAGACCTGTTGGTTTAAGCTAGCAGCTTTCCCTGAATTAAATGTAACTATGAATGCGCTTTTTGAACACTGGAAATCCAAAAAATGGTTACAGAAAATGGGGGAACCACTCTCAAATCTTGTCATCTGCTTGTTTGTCACATGTGGTGATAAATAAGCAAAGGGCTCTTTCTTTTTCCTGTAACTTTTCACTGTGCTTAGATCTTCTGCAATTTATTGTTATTGTGTTTTATTTATGCTCACAATTTTTTATATGAAAGTGAAACAGGGACCTGCAAGATTTTTAATCTAATGAAACGGACAACTCTTAATGTTAATTAAGAATGTTGTTATTTGTGTAAAACTACAGTAACTGTAATTACATTTTAATAATTAATTTTAAAGCTGAATTACAAATATTTTATGTACTATCTGGTCAAACCGTTACATTTTATAGAGATGCTGACATGAAATTGTGTTCCGTTGCTGCTGTTTGGAATTAAGACATTTCCTGCAAAACAGTTACTACTTTTCTTCCTGCAGAATTTATGGTCCTTAACAATTATTCAAGATTAAGTGTTTGTCACAAAATATTTTGTATAGTAAAACCAATCTTTAAAAAAACGTTTCTGTCACACATTTGTTTTTTTGCGTGAGCTTACATCCACATTTGTTGTCGTACAGAGATGTTATACTAGATTAATAAAGACTAGGACCCAATGCCCCAGATCACTTAAAATAACATATTGCAGATTGCAGTACATTTCATGAGGAATTGTCTTGCTGACCTGCAGATGCGAAGCAGTGAGAAGAACGATAGATGGCGCTAATAACACACCCATGTTATAGTCCTGCTGCTGGTGCAGATTAGTTTAAAACTATACTGTGTAAATAGCTGAATAATGAAGGATTTTGTCCATGCAAACACGCACATTGCTAAAATAATAGTGCAAGTTGATTTGATTAAAATTACATATTTATTATTTTGGTTCTTAATGAGCTATTTTGCAATGATCAATTATATGTTGTTATAAAAAGTTTTTACTATAATCGTATCATCTAAATTGAAGACACGCAAGATCAATCAAAAAAGAAAAAAATAGGTATTTCAAAAATGTTGTGGACACATGAGCCATGCCTGCTATCTGTATCTGATTGTAGGTTAGTTGATTAGCCGAGCGAATCCGTAGCTGGCCGAGAATTGCCGAATCATCTGTCCTGCCCGGACTGCTGGAAGCGGCCGCAACGCCATGTTGGCGAAGTCTCTCATCTCTGTGAGGAAAAAATGATAGAAAAAATACGCGCCGAGAAGAAAAGGTAGATCGCCAACAGAGGTAGAAGATTGTGGCGATTATATTTTTGAAAGAAAAGGAACCGAGCCGGATCCGCGGAGGTTCCGGACGGACGAGGGAGGCTAAACCTCCCACCGTCCCCATGAATAGCACCGCTGATCCGAACAGCGACTTTCCATGAAAAAAATACGTTTGTGTTGCTATTCGTGCTTCGTTATCCCAGTTCGTTAAAGGGATTTGGGGCCTGCTTCAAGAATCTGCTACGCTTGCTCTATGTATGCAAGCTAGGCGTTGTTTGTATCAGTATTTATTAAGGTATTGTTTTTATTTGTTGATTTTTTTGCGATGAGTTTGCCACCGAAAGTGGTCCCCAAAACCGCCGCTGTCGCAGTTAGCGGACCTGGAAGTGGCCCCTCTCCGTCGAGCCAACTGCGGGCTACCCTGACCTCCGTGTCTCTACCGCCGGGAGCCCCAACAGCTCCTCAGCCCGGTGCTGTACCACCACCTCAGTATCCTTTCACTTGGGTAACATGGACATGGTTTGTGATTTTGTGCATTTCACTCTTATTTTAAGACAGTGACACGCACGCTCTGCTTATTTTATAAGCGGCAGATAACAGGTTTGATGCGGGGATGATGGTTTCGTTTGGAGGGAGCTGGGATGGGAGGGGACAATTAGATAGCTAAGTATGCTACCGTTAGCTTATCAAGCCGGTTATTAATGAAGCTAACGGAAATGTCAGTTTGGATTTCGGGAGTTCGCGCTATGCTATTGTTTCTACTTACGTGTGTGATTTAATAAAGCTGTCACTCGAATGTAGTGGGATACAATCAAATATAGATGAAGTGACATTAATGGGTATATAAAATAGCCATCACCGGCAAGCTATAAGGCTTTCGACACCGGTTACCGGCTTTGTTCAGTTACCGTTGCTGGCTAGCAAGGTGCGGTAGCCTAGTTACCGTGCCAGCCTGCTAAATTAATGGTAGCCACCATGGCTAGCAATTGTACAACTCAGTTAATGTAAGCAGTAAAGCTTCATTCTTTTCAGGGGGCTCACGTTAGCTTGTATAAGGCACGGTTTGTGGGAATTACACCCCCTTTACATTTAACATGAACTTAGCATTTAAAGAGGTACTCCTATGCACCTAACCAGGCCTGTCAGTGTTTGGGCCGGTGAGCTCTAATGATGACAGCATGTATACATTAGCAGTTAGAAAGTAGCTTGACAGTGACATAAAGTTTGATATTTACTGTTTGTTTACATTACCAGGTAATACAATTGGGTTCTCCCAGAAACCTGTCTCCAAATATGAACTGTAATTCAGTAAATCAGACTTTCAGTGTCGTGGGTTTGCACTGTCATTGCCCCAAAATACACCTTTACTTTTGAGTTTACATAGTGATACACTCACTGTGGTTGTCACCTCCTGTTTTATTTACAGTATGGTGGCACAAGTGAAAGAGAGGATTAGGTTGACGCCTCCTGCCTGTCAGAGGCAGAGAGATGTCTTTTGTGATCTGACAGCTTCTGTTGTGGTTTTGGCTTTGGGTTGTGATGTCTCAACCTGATTTCCTGCCACCCAGGTTTACAGCCGTCCTGTGTTTCTGACATCTGCAAGGGGCAGTAAGTAGCTGGTTATGGCAGGTGGCAGTATGGAACTGTCTTGCCTAAAGTGTGCTTTTGATTTGTTTGTGGGTTAGCTGAGCAACTCAACAGCAACACAGAAGATAATAGTCTCTTTATTTGTTGTGCCGTGTCCTCTTTTGACTCTCCAGACTTCTGAAATTTGCTTAACCTACTTTTAGATGTATGATGTGAAGTGCCTACCAGTTGAGTACATAATTAAACCCTCTTAATTTTCTCAATGGATGGATTGTTAGGCTGGTATAGAAATACATAAACATTAGAAAAAACGAAATGCTCCTTTTTTAAAGAAGAGAAATCACAAACATTTTTAATATGGCTTTTTGGTTTGTTCACTCTTGCTAAGCTTTACTTTCACATTGTTTAAAGTAATCAGCCTTATATTGGTTATCAACATTATGGAATAACTGACGTCTGGATGAAGTGCTGGCTATTGATCTACTAATGAAATAGCAACTGTGTTGCTGTTAAATGAACAGGGGCAACCCTATGGTAGACGGCATTAGACAGCCATAAAGTGGATTACGATGGTTACATCAATTATGGCTATATTTCTTAAAATGTGATTAAGAGATTAATTAGTCCGTCCTCTTTACTAAATTTGACAGAATACATTGGTTGGGAGTTGTATCATAATTCATGACCACAATATAAATGAAACCTAAAATGTCCAATGTTTGGTGAATATGACATTACATCCCCACATGTATGCAGGGAGTGAGGCAAATACACATGGCTACAACTAATAAGATTAACCTAGCTAATGTACTTTTAATTTAACTCAATGCAACAGCCATGCATATACATACCTTTTCTACAAAGTGAATCAATATTATCCTTGTTTTTGAATAGGTATTGTTTCTATGGTCAATAGCAGTGTTGCTTAGCATTCAGAGCGAGACTTTGGGGCGCTGTTGAATTTTATTAAATGTTAAATGCCATTAACTATATAAAAAAGAGCATGATTTCATTTTTCATTATGTTACTATCTGTGCAGAGGTAGGAGTTACCAGAAAGATTACATTTTTTTAGATAAAGTTGCAAGAATGTATGCCTTGTACTGGGGCTTCAATGTCATTTCCATGTCCCTATGATAGTCCCTGGATCCTGTTTTAGACAGCACTGCATTTGACTTTCTTGTCATACATGAAAACAGCCCCTCTGAGTGTCGCCACTTGTCTGACTCCTCACTCTCCAGACACCAGAGGTCAGGACTGTGGGAGCATGTTACGCTCTGTCTGGCCTGGGCTCCTAATGTATAGGAATTCCCACTTGGAGGATGTTGGCGTGTGTGTATGAGGAGTCCTGAGATGCACAGGGGTCCAGAGAAGCAGGGTGGAAAGGGCTTGTATGTGTGAAGTGCTGGGGGGGGGGGTTGTTTCTGTTCCTGGTTGCCAGAGAAACACCCAGCGCATGCGTCTGCTGCTGCACTTGTCAAACAATGGCAGTGCTGCTTAGCATTCAGAGCGAGAGGCCAAGGTGACGCTTCCCACCATCTGCCAACAAAGGCCCAGGTCACCCAGCCTGCCTTAGCCCCCCCTTATTTCCTTCCATCCCCCCACAGCTCACCTCACCCCATTGCTCGCCCAGCTGAGAAAACTGAGGGCTTCTCCCCATTTCCCCCCTCCTTGCCGCCTCTCTCCAACCCCTCCGCTTTCATGGTACAGCACTTTCATCTTTCTTTGAAGAGGCTAGCTCCTTTTTCTTTCTCACAACTTTGCAAGTTCTTTTTTTTTATTCTCTATCCTAATGATTTCTGTTTGGACAAAAGGAATTTGTCAATAAAAAAACTGAAGTTTAATTTGAACCTGCCAGCCAGGCATACAGTCAGAGCCAGTGTTCGTGTTGGTATCCCACTACGTAATGTTGGTACCCAGCTGGCTGGTCACACAGCACTGTAGTCATGTATTTTAGGACAGGTGCGTGCAGCCGTGTGAGAAGATATTCTCATGAGCATACTCACTGTGGGATGTTATAAATAAACTGCTGAGTTGTTATGAGCCAGCATACAGGACTGTTCTCTACAGAGAGGGAGTGGCCTGTCGAGAAAATACATTCTGCACCCTGTCAGAGATCTCCCAGGGTTTTTATCTGAAGCGACATAAACACATCATTGCTGCTGTTTTATTCCTCTATCTTGGATCAACGCCTGATAGTTGCTTATCGTTGAAACCAACATGTTCCTATTTTACTGACATTGCTTTCAACTGTTCTTACAACCCTCAGTATTTGCAGTGAACTCTTTGTTTGGCGATCCATCCCACCCACACCAAGATACTGTGAGGTCCATGGTCTACTTGTCAGCAAGTAGTGCTGCAACATTTGCCAAACAGTGCAAATACTTGTTTTGTAGGAGAAAGAATGAATGCGTTGCTTCAAAATTTACAAATGCAATATTGCATCTACTGTTACGAAACACTGCAGCTAAACAATTGCTTGATTTGTGTGCATCTGCAGTTAAGTTTGCCAACCATTTCTGTCCGCTGTCCCTGTTCTGTTGTTCTTGTTGATATTCATTTCAGTCCTCGTGGGACTTTCATAGCGAAACTCTAATTTAACTTTGGAACTGTTAGTTAAAACTGATCTCTCTCCTAAATCAACCTGGCAGATTTTTTTTGTTGATGCTTCCGATTTTTAGCACTTGCTAGTACTGCTGATATTTCAAACATAAATCATTACCCAGGCGGTATATATCTGGCTGCTGTTTGCCGTCTACCGACCTGTGATTCCGCCTCCGCCGCGATGTCTTAAAGCAAATTCTTAATTTTATTGGCAGTTTGATTTGGATTCTGTAAACTATCACACAATGTCATCAACATTATTTTTTTCATAATTTCACAATTTGTTTCACAGAAAATGACTAACTAAAAGTATTCTTCACTTTTTAACAAACCATTACAGTGTTTCAGAGATGCAATAGGGGAATCTGGACCCTGCTATGTGTTACTATGGGTCTTAAATGATTGGGTCTATAAAAGTGACCAAAAGTAGGGAAAAATGTCCATCTTATCTTTCCAACTATATCTTTCTTTAAATATCATCACCTCTTGAAATGTCACATTTTCTCGTGTCTGAACCCAAAACTATTCAGTTTAATATGACATACAACAGAAACATATTTCATACATTTAAAAACTGTAATTTCTGCCATTTTTAACAATGAATTCCTTTTTTAAATAGTTTGGAATTACTTTTTGCTGATTGGCTCGTTGACCAATCAAGGCAGCTCTACATTTTGGTCATTTTAACTAAAAGTGAGTTGCAACTTGGATTTACCCATATGAAATAACATACAATACAACTTTATTTATCAATGTAAGGAAATGGTGTGAAATGGCTGAATCTACCTCCTTTTTTAAAGTTCACACTGAATCCCTGTTTCCCGTGCGTGCAGTGGCCAGTGGTGCGTGCAGTGGCCAGTAGTGCGTGCAGTGGCCAGTGGGCCATCAGGGAGCAGGATAGTTTGTGTCTGCACCATCTGGGCCGTCTCTGCTTACTTCCTGTGAATCCACTCTGAACCCACTGCTCTCAGATTTCCAGGTAGCCTGTGTCATCTAAAGGAGGCATGGTACTTGTAAATGTATACTGCATTTAGAAAGTTAATATATAGTAACGCAAATATTACTGTTTGATTTAGTTGATATTTACCTACAGAGCCGCTAACTTTGCAGAAACAGAGCTCACCTCTCACTCTGAGCCTCTGCTGCCTCTTTTTCCTGGATGTTCCATGTGATTCATTCAGGGAAGGGCTTGCAAAATACACAGCTGTAATTCATTTATGGTAGGAGTAATAGCAGATTACAGTTTATTGAGCCGTATCATCCTCACGATCACACCCCTGCTATTTGTAAGGCTGTATTTCCTCCTGTCTTCCACCTTCTCCCCCCCTCACACACAATCAGCACATTAGTGGCTTTACAGTAAGCTACTGATGAAGTAGCCCCCCGTGAACGTCTGGTAAATGTACGGTTTTTGGATATAATTGTGCGTTGACGTTTTGCGGGGTTTTCGGTTTATCCCCGAGGGAGAATTTCAGTTTCCTTGTTGTCCAAGGAATTACTGTGACAATCGTACAAAAAAAACGTAAAATTTTATGTAAACCTTTTAGTGTAAATTTTTATCCTAAGTATTGAGGATTTGTTCGTCATCCGAAGACACCATCAAAATAGGAACTGTTTCCAGTTACACCCAGGATTTTGTTCAGGGTGGTCTTTGTCTTATGTCTAGTTAGGACGAAAGAAGAGACTCCTCTAGTATTTCATCGGAAATTGGTGAGTGGAAAACCGGGAACTAAGTTGTAACTCGACATTCGGAGTGTAAATTCTTTTNCGAGGAAAAGAAATGGGGCTCAGAGCCTCAGAATACTGAAATCTGTATTTTTTTGTCATCTTTTTTTCCTTCTAATTTGTTATTACTTGCGTGCCTACACCAAGTAATAACAAATTAGAAGGAAAAAAAGATGACAAAAAAATACAGATTTCAGTATTCTGAGGCTCTGAGCCCCATTTCTTTTCCTCGCGGATGGCAAACAAACTCAGACATTATACAATTTAAAATGAAAAGGGATAGGGTTAGGCTTAGGGTAAGATATTGAGTAATACAATGTTTTTATGAACCACACAGCTTCCGGTCTTCCAAGACCCGACCGGACAAAAAGACGTGGTGCAGGCACGAAACATACTACCAATAGAAATACATTGCTTTTAAAATCGTTCTGTGTGACACGGAACAAATGCGAAAATTGTGTTGGTGAACACGAATCAATAGGTACAATACATTTTGTGACTATGACACGAAATGCCGTGAGACTGGGTTGGTCTCACACGCAACCAGTTAATTCATTTACAGCATGTAAAAGAAAATCCCTATGTGACAAAGTGATTATCAGGTGAAAGGAAGGACAAGTACAAAGTGGGATGTATGTATACATAGATAAAGAGGAAACAGGATCAGAGTGAGGAAATGAGGAGCATTCTGAGCAAGCAACAAGAAGTTGTAAATGTGTTCACATAGGCAAAAAGAGAATCAGCGGCACTCTCAAATAAAACAGACATACATAGAGAGCTTGGGTTTGTTTTAACAGCTTAACCCTATTTTAAAACGATGTCAGGGGAACAGGATAGTGCAGTTATTTAAATGTGCACTAAGACAGGATATGGATTTAAGTATTAATATATTTGACTACGTGTCTAATTAAAGAGGCCCTATTATGCTTACTTTCAGGTTCATATTTGTATTTTGTGCCTCTACTGTGAAATGTTCAAATGTTTTAATTAAATGTGCAAAAAGCTCTTTATTTTTCTCATACTGCCTGTGCTGCAGCACCTCTTTTCACCCTCTGTCTGAAACCAGAGCCCAGTCTGCTCTGATTGGTTAGCTGGCCGGCTCTGTTGTGATTGGCCAACTGCTTAGAGATTTGCCACCGTACAATGTGTTGGAGAGCTAGTCTATAGAGGCGTGTGGGAAGGAAACTCTCCCTGGAGGGAACTTTGGGATTTCTGCCTTTGCAGTCCATTTACATGCACTAAAACCTATATAACACACTGCAGAAAAGGAACAAAAAAACGAAAGCATAATAGGGCCCTTTTAATATCTCAGTTCAGTCATTTAAAGTGTTATATAAAGTTATTAAAAGTGTAGTTGCATCTTGCAATCATTTCAGATGATTAACTGTGGAATTAAGTTAAAGGTCTCTATGAGTGTTGCTTTCACCCCAAAACAATAAAGCTGAAAATAATTGTAGTTGTGGTGCTCAATTCAACAGCAACACTTCTGCCCAGACACAATATTCCAACAACTGGAAAATACAAGGACCTTGCTTTGAATAGTTTTTATTGGAACTATTTATTTGGTAACAGAGAGTTCCAATGAAAACTGATTGAGACATTGTTTCTGGACAAAGCACACACACTCATATATGCAACAAAATCAGATTTGTTCAGCAAAATGTAGCTGTGTTAAGTAGCTTTCTCATTTAAAACCTCTTATCCTAAATAAGGAAACGAGGTTTCCTATTTACATATAGATTAAGAACGCAGGTTAACAAGGTTAGCCATAAAACACTGATTGATATTTTAAAACTCTTGTTAAAAAAGAATGTTGCTTCTCAGTTAGCGCACATTTCTTCCTGCATTCAGTAAAAAAGTCTCTGCAGTGTCAAAGACACAAGAACAAGAGGTCAAGTGAGAAGCTTTCCAACATGTTAGTGGTTTGGCTCTGGGCCATTCCCCCTGCCAGTATAAACCCGGGCTTCTAAAAGCAGAATGATAATGACAAAACCTCAATTCACGTACAGATAGTATCTAGTCTACAAACATGCTAAAAATACCTTATCTGGATTAGAATCTTGCACAGATTTGTTGGACTCTATCCCATCCCACTGTTAAATCTATCTGTGTCATACTTGATTACAGTGACTGTAAAGTACCTTCATTTAATGTCTCACCTTCTTTGTCCCGTACATGACCTCAAGGAAGCGCTGCTCTGCATCCTGGAACCTTTGGTCCAAAATGGACACCATCTTCCTCACCACCTTCATTATCATGTAGTTGTTGAGTAGGCTAAAAAGGAAATATCAAATCCATTGTTTAGTTGCCTTCTGTCAGCGTGATTGCTTACCAATGAGCCTTTCAGTAGGAGGGTTTATGCTAGTGATTATTTAAAAAGAAATTGTAACATGCAAAATGTATTTCATGCATAAAAGTATAAATGCTTATACAATATCTGACCTTTTATTTGTGTTGAGTATGAGTTCCGAAACTTGCTCGAGGTATTCTTTGGCATAAACAACTACTGGCTCTGACTCGTTGAGTTGCACAGGAGCAAACACTTCTGTGAGGTATGGCATCCAGTCAACTGCAGGAACCAGAGTCTGCAGAAACACAGATAAAACACAAACATTGAGACAAAGTCTAGCTTTTACAATGAATGTGAATATTTACATTTGCATAATTTAGCTTCACACTTTTTATCATGATTTATAGAATATTATTATCTTATCTTATCTTTTCAGGTTCATATTTGTATGTTTTCCTCTTCTGTGACATGTTTCCATGCTTTAATGTTTAATGTTATTTCTGCAGCACCTCTTTTCACCCTCTGTCTGAAACCAGGGCCCAGTCTGCTCTGATTGGTTAGCTGGTCTACTTTGTCTTGATTGGTCAAACGCATAGAGATGTCCTGCCCCTTAGCGATGTCCTGCCCCTTAGCCTATTACTTTTTATGTTTGGAGTGCTAGCCAAAAGAAGCGCGAGTGTTACATAGTGATGTCACTGTGTTACGGAAGTAAACAAAGGAGTCTAATTATCCAATTTAGCCTTTGCAGACTATTTACATGCACGCAAACCTATATAACACACTTCAGGAAAGGGAAAACCCCAAAACACATAATAGGGCCCCTTTAAGATCTGTATATTCTTGTTTAATGTGGGGGATTGCTCACCGACAGATCTTTGGCCTTCATCTTGTGGTAGATGAGCTCCTCGTCTCTTCTCTCGTCCTGAGGGACTGTGATGTTGGCCAGGGTGGTTTCAAAGTCCACGATCTCAAGCATCAGTGATGAAGAAGTCTCTTCGGAGCCACCAAGAAGAACCCCCAATTCCACCAGGAAGTTGAGGTATGCTGACAGATACTGTAAATCCATATCAGGCAGTGCAGAGGGGGGGATGTGGGGAGACAAGGGATGTGTGTGTGAGAGAGAAAAATCTATCAGGAAACTAATCCTAAACTATGCAAACATAAGCTACTATGCAGAGTTGATTTCCACCCTGCGGCTGAAATATTTCTCTTTTAATATTTCCTTATTTTCATTGTAGAAATTCCAGATCTTGATGAAATGATGAGCTTTAATATCCTTTACTTTTACGGTCCAACTTTGTAGGCGCTTTACCAATGTAAAACAAGCAATTTGCCCACAAGTACCTTTTCATTTGCTGTTTTGTTGAGGTAGTAATCCCGTGAAGGTAGCCCCAGGCTGGACTGATCCACCTAGATTTGAGAAAAAACATTTATGACATACAGTTCAGCCTCCATCTCAACCCCTCACAATGTACCTTCTGTTTTCATTCCTGCGCTGCCAGCATGCAGCCTCAAAGAAGAAGCTTGCCAAAGACCATATCTGTGCTATTTGTTACGTTTTCATGACACCCTGCAGGGGAATTAACTCTTGTGCCAAACTGTCTATGTGAAACCAGGACCCCCGTGATAATGCGTGGATTGGCACCAAAATATCAGATTAGTCTATTATATTCTAGTTTATTCTGTATATTATCATATTGTGTAATCGCTAGATAGATAGATATATTTGTATTGTTAATATCTATAGACTTACTGTTTATGTTTTTTTTTGTTAACTAATCATTATTATATTATGTATAGTTGTAGTAGTAATACTAGTAGTAGTAGTAAGAGGATTTAAAAATCAACCCAATTAACTGTAGGGTTTCTTTGGACGTTTTTCCCTTGCCGGCTGTGAGGGTCCAAGGACAGAGTGTATCATATTCATTTTCTGTACAACTGTAAAGTCCACTGAGACATACAGTATGTAAAATGTGTGATATTGGACTGTATAAATAAACTTTGATTGATTGACTGATTGAAATATATCTTGGTAGAAATTGGTAGAAGTGTAGAATAATTACAAAAACTGTTATACAATTCAAAAAATAAGTGTTTTCAAGAAATATAAATATACAAAACACAAGAATATGAAAAATGACACAAAAAAATATGTGTAGTATATCAGAATTTGAAAGTGGGAGAGCTGTGCAGCTTTATATGTAATTTTTAATGTAAGTATAAAATAATGTGGTAAAAGGTTTTTAGTGAAAAAGCACTTTCTGAGATGTAAATATATAATTTCCCATTAATTCATAACATTTTCGCCCCTGTCCTCTCACCTGGATGATGTTGCTGTTGGAGTTTTTGGAGTCGGTGCTGACAAACACTGTGAAGAACGGTGAGGTGCGAAAGTTGGCTGACACCATACGCAAAACTTCCTGGAAGTTGTCCTTGTCCCAGTCTCCGGTCAAGGACCATCCTCCTAACTGAAACAGGAAATGTAAAGGCCGAGGCTCAGAGAAATGATGAAGTGTTTGATGTCTGATTGCTTTAGTAAAAAAGAAACATACCTGGCTGATAAGCTCCTGTAGTGGCTTTGCTCCTAATTCTTCAATCTTGCTCTCATTCATGCAGGCCTGATAATATTTCTGGGCCTTTGCCTCAGACTTACTCAGACCTATTATTGTTGTGTTTTCTGCCCAATAAAAGAAGTGAAATGAATTACAAGAATGAAAGACAAGCCAGTTTCCCCAGCTGTGCCCAATGAGCCAGAGAAGAAAAACTCATCACATCTCTGCCCGGGTGAAGGCAGCTGAGCCCACTCAAAGAGTCTTACCTAATAAATGCTTCATCACAAGCATGTTGTTCTCCCAGAGGTTGCTGAAAGGTCCCCAGCGGGACTTGCCCTCAGGCAGGGGGTTGTTCTTCACCCAGCCCCCGCAAGCAAAGTTGTAGAAGTCATGGCAGGGGTCCACAGATCGATCCAGGGCCCCCATGACTGCACTGGCCACAGTAATGCACGGCTCTGATAGACACAAGCCAGGGTGAGCTGCAAGGGGAAAGACAAAATTAAAACATGTTTACTTTATAGACAGTTTTTATAAACTCTTTGGTTTCTAAGGACCACAGTGGGTAAATATTTCCTGGTTGGTCATTTGAGTTTTCAGAACATCTGGAAACAATTATTTTATGAGAAGTACCAGGGAAGATAAATATAACCTGGAGGGAATATCTCTTCTAGTAGAAATATTTTTGAAATAATAAGCCGAAAAGTGAGATATTTTCTTTATAGAAGGAAATGTCACACGTGTGGTGAACTACTAACAATTGATTATGTTGTCCTAATTATGCAAATGTTCAGATTCATATTTGTATGTTGTGCCTCTATAGTGACATGTCTCCATGCTTTAATGTTCAAAAAGCTCTTTATTTTTCTCATACTGCCTCTGCTGCATCACCTCTTTTTACAATCTGTCTGAAACCAGAGCCCAGTCGGCTCTGATTGGTCAGCTGGCCAGCTCATTTGCTATTGGTGAGTGGTCCAACCCTTTAATATTTTACGTACAATATGTTTCAGGGCTAGCCAATAAAAGAGTGTTACATTGTGATGTCATTATGTTTTGGAAGTAAACAAAGAAGTCCAATGGAGGCGTTTTAAGGCAGGGGGGGTGGAGTGTGTAGGAGGGAAACCTTTGCAGCGCATTTACAAGCATTACAACCTATATAACAGACTACAAAAACAAGGGAAAACACACAAAAAGGCCCCTTTAAATGGTTAAATTTAGTGAATGTTTGGGATGATGGATTAATTAATTAATTAAAAACAAAGTTTAAGTCAGCCACTTTGCTTGAACAAGGTATTTTACTGGCTCGTAATAAATGTGATTGCTCTTTATGTGTGTAGAGTACAATATTGTTAAGCAAACGCCATTAGGGCAGCACAGAGGCTTTTGTCAGCTCTGTGCTACTTCATAAGGTTTAAACGCAAAAGCTGTTTAACAGGAAGAGCTTTACAAAACTATCAAGAGTGTTTAGAGAAGTGCCAGTACTGAACAACTCCAGGGACCACTCAACTCTAATACTGGACTTACAGTAAAGACTTTCCCCATCTGTCCATATAAGGTCAATAACAGATCCGGTGACAATGTTACGAGCAGGGATGAGTTAAGTACCCTGAGGAGAATTCATCCTTGTTCCTCTTATTATTTAAAAGTGTGACCTGGCATGGGGTTCTGAATGGGAGGAAGTCACATTAGGTTTCCCATGGTACATTTGAGGAAACAAGCACAGATGAGACCCCGCCTGGATGTGATGGTAATTCCACAAGACCTTTTTTCGTAATGAACAAGCTCTAGGGAGAGATTTAGAGAGGTTTTTTTTATAGGCAGCTTAGCTGAAGCTTTACAGACAGTACTTAGTATTATTATAAAAAAGGTTATGCCCAGCATTTGAGGAATAGTTTGGCATTTGGAAAAAGTGCCTTTGTTGAAGACAGTTAGGTTATATCAAGAATAATGACACTCTTAAGCCTTTTCAGTAAATGTGTAGCTACGGTGTAGCTGCAGATGACAGATGAGAGGGATAGCCTAGCCCAGGGGTGTCAAACTCAATATCATCACGGGCAACATCAGCATTTTGGTTGCACTCAAAGGGACGGTTGTAACTTTAAGACTATATAAAAATACGTATGTAAATATTTAATATATATAAAATAATGTATTATATTACATTATTGCCTCTGCATGGATTATTATCAGATAAGGTAATAACATTCCATAATTAACTACGTCTTAAAAGCAGAAGTCTAGCAAATAATTGCAATGTCTGTTCAGTGAGAAGTGTCACAAAATGATTTAAAAAGAAAAGCCAAATTCTGAAGAAAAAAATTTAAATCAACAAAAAGTGATATTTTGGAGAAAAAAAATCTAATTCTGCAGAAAAAAGTAAAATTTGAGATGCATTTGTGGGACATGTAGTTATATGGGCAACGTCCTCTTAAAGTAGCATGTTACCATATAATAAAACATATTATAGTTTTTGCAAGCTCTTATGGGCCACAGAAAATGAAAGTTGCGGCAGATTTGGCCCCCGGGCCTTGAGTTTGACACCCCTGGCCAGCTAAAAGACTGTAGGGTTAGGCCCTAGGCCCTAGGCATAAAAGGACTGGTAGGTTTAGCTTAGCTTAGCCTAGCCTAGCATACAGACTGTAAACCATGGGAAGCAGTTAGGCATAGCTCTGTCCACAGGTAAAACAATCTGAACAGAAAAATGTTTCTTTTGTGGCAAGATGTTAGTCATTCTGAACCCTGAGAAGGCAGAAAAGACTGAAAAGAGTTCAAGGGAAGCTTATAAAAAGTTAACAGCATTTAATTACCACAAAAGATGCGTGGATGTAGCAATGAAATGGCAAAGCTGGATGCGCTCATCCCCATGTGTTCGGTCAGCCGAGCAGGAAAAAGAGATCGATTCTTGCTTGCTCTTTCCTGTTGTCATCTGTGTCTTTCTGGCGTCGACGGCAATGCAATTCCTGCCTTTTTCTGGTTGCTTAAATTACATCATTATCTGATGTCTGTGGTTATTTAAATATTCCCTGATAAACGTTATTTCAGCGTCAATAAATGAGTGTTAATCCCAGTGTGTTTAGTGTACAAAATCTCATGTAATTTTTCACCTTCAATTCACGGTTTCAAAACATTGCCCACAGCTAATGCTAACCAGAAATGGAAGAATTTTCAGAATAAAGTGTTAAGTTAATAGTTAGTGTAAAACTTCCGGTTTTTTTCAGAATAAAAACTGCTTTAAACTTAAAACCCTGTATTTTAATTTTAAATTCACGCCATATCAAGCATTGAGTGTGTTAATTTTGTACACTGAGAAAATATATCCAATACATTTATGAGTTTTTAGTCAGAGGTTTTTGTACCGATCAAACGCGAATATAGATGTATTGATTTAAAGCTTTAAAACGTAGCTGGTTGGTGAATTGTGTTCCGTTTGTTTTCGTTTAGGTAGTGTTTCAAGGGGTACATGTCCGGAGAGCGTAGTGGAGACGCACGTAACCACTACCTGGCAGATAGATGTACAGTGGCAAGAAAAGAGTATGTCTAGTCAGCCACCGAATTGTGCAAGTTCTCCCACGTTAAAAAGTTGATGAGTTCCCTGTAATTTTTCATTCTTAGGTATACCTCACTACTGTATGAGAGACAAAATGAGGAAAAAAATAAATCCAGAAAGCTCACGATTGCTCAGATGTTTTAAAGAATTTATTTTGCAAATGATGTGGAAAATAAGTATGGTTGGTCAATAACAAAAGGTTCATCTCAATACTTTGTTATATACATGCAATGACAAGAGTTCAAACGTGTTTCGTAAGTCGTTCACAAGTTTGTCACACACGTGCTGGTATTTTGGCCCAT